AAGAGCTTCGCCGATCTGCGATCCTTCAGCCCTAGCCCGTCTGCGTCCTCTTCGAGCTACTTGACGGCCATGAACGGCATCGGGAACATTCCCCAGTCTGGCAACTCGGGGGCCCGCTTCGGCGATTACAATGGAGGTGTCAACCAGTCCGCCGCGCTTGCCACTCCCAACCTGACACCTACTTCCGGGACGGTCGGCACTCCTGGTACCGACAGCAGCCTTCTCAGCTCGCTTGGTGGACTCAACCTTGGCTCCTACGAGTCAGCCGCCCATTCTCAGGCCCGAAGCACCCCTGGCGCCATTGGAAGCCAGCGCCCTGGTGCCAACAGCGGCAACCGCAACGCACCCGAGAGGCAGCCCAGAGGCCCCGAGTGGGAGACTTCTGCCGGCTTCAGCGGTCGCAACCGCTCCAACGGCCACATGCAACGTGGAAGCGGTAAGTTTTCTCTTTCGTCTGCTCAGACTGGGATAGTGAGTCCAATAAACTAATCCCATGGCAGACTCTTCCGACAACGCACCCCGTGCTGGAAGCGCCGGCGCATCTCGATTCCACTAGACAAGAACCATAATTTACCTCGCCGAGACTGCCACGACAACCATTACAATGAGGAAACGATTCATGACTCGCGACGCATAGAGACTACAAACGACATTCGACGAGTTCACCGCAGCTCACCGCAGCTCGGTAATCGACAAACCCCCCTGTGTTATACCTACCATTGCTTTTCATGATGGACACTCTCCCCCACAACCACACCCATATTGCTTATAATGATGATTTGTTGGACACGAGCCTTTGGCAGCGTCATGATCTTTCGCTCGGCCGTCTCGGAATTGGTGGATAGAAGATTTCCCAGCGTCGCGGCGGCATCCAATTTTGGATTCACGGCACCCGCCCGGCAAGGAAACCTTGGCTCATGGCTGTTTCAACGACCAGAGAAGGATGAACGGAAAAGAAACTTGGATACAAGAAAATACCTGATATGGGCAACCATTTCGACATGGCAAAAAAAGGCCCATGGGCGGTCCCCTATACCCTCCTGTTTCCCCGCCATACCTCCTTTCATGGCGCGCGGGAGCATATGAACCACCCTTGACGATGAATACGCTGTTACGACCTTTTTATGTCTAGATAGCTGTACCAGCATGCTCGACAAAAGCCGCTTCTTTTTGGATGACGAGACCATGCCCTTCGGCGACCATGACTATACCCACCTAATTACCACGGTTCGGCAAATTTTGATCAAGACACGACCCAAGACTGATGTTGCCCTCGGACTCTCTTTTGACGGCCAAGATTGGTAGTTTGTCGGCTTCAGAAAACAATGCCAGCTCTTTATTGGGCTCACCGACGAAAAAAAAAGTTTGATTTGATTCTGGGCGTCTTTGTGCGCCTGCATTTCCTGATGGTTTTTTTTTTTTTCGTGTTGTTTAGTATTCATGTCCCCCCGGCCCTCAGTCCTGCAAAGTGCTCTCTGTGTCAACTTGCAGAGAGTCGCCCACAGAATGAACACTCCTGTTCCATCATGGGTGATCTTTCGGGACGACTTTGACGGGGACATTGGCGTTGAGGCTGCATTGGGGGCCAATTGGTCGTATTTCCTGGTCCTGGACCTGCTAGAGTTTTCCGTGTTTTTTCATTCGTCTTATTTTTGTTGGATTTACATGCATTTGCGAGCATCTGAGGCAGGATGACAGGACGAGAGATCAGTGAACGATCTAATGTCGATATTTTTTTCCAGCAGAGAACAACACACGAGAGAGAGATGAGATGACAGATGCAAGGACTGGCCAAACTATTTGCGTGTAATGTGTCATGGGGCACAAAGATAATTTCGATGAAGAGAGGATGATGATGTACCGAGAGAGAGCCGCACACACTAGGCAGCTATGCTATTTTGCGCCTTGTCAAATATACTGCGTTTGATTTGATACCGAGTCTCATGCCATGGCGCTTACTGTGAGGACGACACAAGACGCGTTGCTACCTGACTACTGGCGTTCAACGTTACGAACAGGACTCGAACGCTTTTTTTGTGGTCTGGTTGTTCAGTTCTACCGCTCGTTCCTGAGGGAAGGTGGAATTCGTTACAAACCGTATGAGTTGGGGGGGTTCTAGGTCAAAATCCTCTTCTTACAAAGCAAGCTACAGTTCATGTTCTGTTTCACGACATCTCATGACACCTCGGGAGGTGGGTGAGCGGGCGGTAAACATATTTCTTTGTCTTGTGAAACGGGGGTTATGATGTGCCTGACCAAATGGTGGGTAAATGATACGGGCAGGAAGGACCAGCCGGATTCTGAAGACTCGTTCTTAAAAAGGGTCAAAATGATTATGAAAACGGGGGACGGTTAGGTGTTTAGATCCGTTGTGTTCCTACCATACCAACGAGATATCGTTCACGATGTGGCTCATTCTCCCGCTCGTACTCGTAAGAGCCCCAGATGCCACCTACCAAGCTACACAAACACTCACTCACATTCTACCAAATCTAGATCAATTTTGCTATATGGTTTGCACATAGCCGAATTTGGACAAGCAACGAGGTCGAACCATCGCCAGACGTTCCCGAGGAGGTGAAGGGGCAAGGGGGCGTAGAATGGCCGACCATCTCCAAGTGAACGAATCCAGCCATCGTGGACCATCATTGATAACTCCCCCGGATTCACCACTACCACCACCGTCAGCCGAGCCAGACGAGATCGCTGTGCAAATCGCCACAACGTCTCCATCTCCATCATCGTCATCCACGTTGTCCGGGCCCTCGTCAACCTCGTCACCCTCATCACCCTTGTCCCCACCGGAACCATTAACGCCAACGCCAACACCACCAACATCAACATCAACACCACCGGTCCCCTTCCGCCCCAACCCCCTCCCAAGATGGCGCTGGCGCACCCACTGCGGTCTACGATATCTCATCTCCTGCACAAACCGCTGCATCCACTGCGGCCGCTTCTTCTCCAACAAACCCGCCCCCAAACCCGGCCCGCTCTTCATCTCGCGCCTATACATGAGAGGTAAAGCCTTACTCAGCCTGCGTCCCGAAGACGCGGAGTATGGGTACCTCGTAGCGCAACAAATGAAGCGGAGGAATCGCGGTGGGCTCAGGGCGGCGAGGGCGGTAACCAGGGCGAAGGCGGAGCGTTCGGCGATGATGATGGCGAGGGCCGTGTTGGAGGATTCGGTGATGGCTTCGCCGCCTTGGCTCATGCTGTGGCCTTCTAAGTGGGAGTACGTCGAGCAGTGGCAGGTGGGAACGTGCTCAGCACGAGGGACACGAATCAAGCCGGCATCTGCACGACGCGTTCGCTTCAGCATCCCATTAACTAAGTAATCAGGCCGCACCATAGATACCCCGATTCATGAACACCATAGAGATGGATTTCCTGCATTAATCTGTGATCACTTAGGACAAGGGCACGGCATCAGTATACGGAAATCAAATGTGTACCCCCATTACAGTTTTATTCATCTACCTAAGCCCATCAGCTAGTGCCTTATCCGCGCGTGCCTTCTTGGGAACCGAAACAGGAACCTCGAAATGTTGTACATTGTGAGTGAGTGCCAGACTCGAGGCGAATCTGCGTGGGTTTCTGAGAGTGCAGGCACCCAGAGTGAGTACCCTGCAATCATGAAGATCAAGGCGCTTATGGCTCATGCGCCATATTTTTTTCAGCACCGTACCCGTGAACGTCGAGGACAGAATCGCGTGCAACTCTGAACCGTTGCATGCCTCTTCCTTTCTTTGTTTCCAGATATTGTGAAAAGATTATTCAACCTCTGGCACACCTGCATCATCGTCGTTTCTGACCAGTGTTGTAAGGAAAGCAGAAAAAAGCATCCCTTGAGACCGAACCACTCCCAAATAACCGTCCTGAGAAAAAAGCCAACCGGGAATATCAACGTTATTATCGTTGTTGTGCAAGACGCGGGATTTATGCCTCGAGCGCCTTGGCCTTCTTCTTCTGCTCGACCTTGAGGAGGAGCGCGCGGTTGATGTGTGGCAGAACACCACCAAAGGCGATGGTGGCACGAATCAGGGTGTCAAGTTCCTCGTCACCACGAATGGCAAGTTGGAGATGGCGGGGAGTGATACGCTTGACCTTGAGGTCCTTGGCAGCGTTCTACAAGGCGCGCGTCAGTAAATGATTTAGGCAGAGACCCCGATGAGTCAACGGAGTGCGCCGGGAGGGATGGGAACTTACGCCTGCAAGCTCGAGTACTTCAGCAGTAAGGTACTCGAGAACGGCGGTGACATAGACGGCAGCCTTGGCACCGACGCGCATCTTGTTCTGGGTGTTGGCCTTGAGGAAACGCTTGACACGACCGCAGGGAAACTGGAAAGTCCGTGTTAGCAAGCTGCTACCGCTAGCTTGAGAAATTTTCATTGCTGCGAGCGTTCCGGGAGTTGCGCCATCGTTTTCAAGCCCAACGAGATCGTGCACGCGACCGCATCCCGTCCATCATCCAGTGCAGCCTCAACGGCGGAAAAGTGATCGCGCAGATTCACCGTTGCAGGTGGAAGATGCTGCGCGACACGAGATGATGGTTGGATGGCGGTTCTGACTTGTGTTGCGGTCGAACGCGTCGGAATCGGGTGGTCGTCGGTCGATGCTCGATATCGGGGCCCAAAAATCGACGTGCAAAACCGGCGCATCATCAGGATAGCGCAACTTACCTGGAGACCAGCGCGAGCGGAGTGGCTCTGCTGCTTCTTGGGGACTTCGGCCGTAGCCTTGCCTCCGGACGTCTTTCCGCCAGACTTTCCCTTGCCGCCGGCCATTGTTGATGTTGATGCGAGGGCGCGAAAAAAAGGTTTGATAAATTCGAAAGTCGAGTTTGGGATCCGATGATTCGATCAAAGTGGGGATGCGCGTGTCGAGTACAAGGTTTGGAAAAAAGGACTGTTATCGAAGAAGACTGTTTCGGTGTTGGGTTGAAGTTGGAGGGGTTGTCGAGGGAAGCTTTGGTGGAGGTGGATGGAGATGGCAGAAATTTAGTTCGAAGGCTGACAGTGATTGTTGTTGTTCGTCGGTGACGGCAGGAGAAGAGGACAGGGGGGCGAATGGGAGCGAGGGAGCTTCGGTGCGAGCAAGAAAATCGCGGTCGGTGTGGTGTGGGAGGTGCGAGGAGGGGGGGGGGGACCGTCGATGGGTGTGCCGGGTGCTGCTGCGTGCTGGTGCTGGTGCTGGTGCTGCTTGTCTTTGCGGTGCTTTTCGTTTCTGAGCAAGTCCACGGCGCGGCCTGTGTCTGCGTGTCTGCTTCTGCTGCTTCCAACGGAAAGGTATGACCACCTGCGCACCTCTGCTGCTCTGCTCTGCTCTGCTCTGCACTGCACCTCTGTGCTGCCGCGGCCCACGCTGCCTCCTTGCTCAGAGTTTTGCTGGTGAGCTATGGTCCGTTCCTATTCGTCGGTTGGAGCTCTGTTGTGGATGGCTGTGTTATGGCGCTAGCGTCGAGTGCCCAGAAATTGTTGACAAAATGTTATTGCCAGAATGTTGCGCGACTGGAGAGCTTGCACACGGCTGCCGAAGATTACCCGAACCGCATCGAAGGAGCCGGGAACCTTGAGGTGCTTGCTTGGCCCGGGCGGGCTGTGAGTCTGATGAGCGAGGCAAGAGAGCCTGCCGCCCAAGACGTAAGTACATGGCACTCGCCATGGTAGAACCGTCAGAAAGCCAGAAATGAGACAAGAGTAAGGAGAAGGACCTGCTCAGCTCGAGCAAATCACCTGGGATCCAGGACACGCCGTGGCGGCAAAGAAGCACATACCTTGAGCTTACCTCCAAGTGAGGCTCTGCGACGGATGCCAGCAGCAGGCTTTGGCCAAGCTCGCTGCACTACAGCGGGATGGTCAAGCAAAGCTCAGAGAAGAATGAGGAGTGGCCTTCAGATCAGCCTGAGCCCAAATGCAGCCTGTCTCGAGCCGTGGAGGTGAGTGTTGTCATCTTGATATGATCGTTGCCGATGTTGGCCTTTGATGTCGACGCAAAACGCAGACCGAGAAAGCGTCCCGCACGAGGCTAGTGACAGCCTGTGGCGCTTCTACGCACGTGATGTGGCTGGTGCTTCATCCGGCCTGGAGTCTCACGTGCGACGTTTGACCTCATGAGCTCAGTGCTCCCTTCAAGGCTCAAGCTCAGGCCCCGCCTGGACTCGATCGGATGACCGGCCCCATAAAACACCGGGAAGATCTGACACTGGAGCTCGGGTCTCATCCGGTATCCACACCACCAAGTTCTCATCTCTCGACTCTGGAGGAGTGAGTCCTCATCCTGCAGCCGGTACCAGCTGTTAATGTAAGTCTACAATAAGGCACTGTCGAAAGAGAGTATAACTTCTTTCATCTTATCATACTTTCTAATCAAATCGTCAATACATCCATAATAGAGAGCGTGGTCCTACTCACTGACCACCACACTATCAAAGAAACTTCTTGTTTGCTATCTCGGGCCCTACCTCTTCGTACTCGGCCCTCATAACACACATCCTTTCAAACGTCGAAAGTTCGCTCATGATGGATCCCCCAACCCAAGCGGAATACGCCCTATTCCGAGGAGAGATGGCATTGATAGTAGTACCCTCTGCGAATAAACGCTCCAGTTCGCACTTCAACCTGGCGCCGAACCCAGGAAACATGGTGTTTCCTCCAGCCTATACCGTCGTCAGCAACACGGCGACTCAGCGAAAGCAAAACAAAGACAAGTACTCACAAGCAGGATATTTTGACAGAGACTTTCACGAAGACCCTGTGCACACTTCATAATAACATTAAAGGCATTATGCTGCAGCCCACCAACATCAAGCCCCAACATGGAAGGGTTGAACGACACCTCGCCCGCACGCAAACCCAGCGGGGTGTCAAGCTTGACTTTCATCCCGTCAGGCAGATCCCAGATCTCTTCTTCCCCTCTGTCATCCACCATATTCTTCCACCGCATGACACCCTCCTCAAAGTCCTTTGCGACGCGGCACCGTTCAGTCTTGGCCAACCACAGAACGTCATCCCAAGCCCCGTTTGACGGAAGCTCTAGACCGACTTCATTCGTGAGAGCTTGCTGCAACCAGTCGTCTATCGCTTGTCCCCCAACGTCGTGCCTACGGGCATGGTTCCGGATAGGCGCGTGATCGTATACTGGTAGAGTAGAAGTCCCCGCGTAGCCCGAGTCGATGACGAGAGCGATGGGTAGGTTGGCCGCGTAAGTTGACAGCAGAACCGGCGAGGCCGTGTAGTACGCCGGCGCGGAGAAATATTCGAAGACGTGGGATACCATGGTCATCCTAGTTTGTGCACAATTAGGCTCTTTGCAGTCTCGAAAAAACGTCTGGGACTTACCGCTGGCTTGGAGAGAGATGGAGTGGTTCTGTCATGATGATTGGATGATGGGAGAGCGGTATGGAGGCTCCCAACTCTGCCAAAGCATAGTTCCATATCCTATCTGCGTCTTGCCAGTTCGTGATCACGCCACCTGCTCTGATCGGGTATAGAGGTTGGTTGAGGCCTTCATAATTCGGGTCAACGGCATGGCCGACGTTGTAAGTGGTCTGTAATATGGTCAAAAAGTCTGGCGCCTCGAGGAACCTGCACAGGTTGCGGAGATATCATGCCGACTAACCATCCAGATATCAGTGTTCCTGTTCTCTTTCGTCCTAGTAGGATATTGGATTGTAGTTGCTAGGTTGTAGTCAGACGGCTGAGAACAGTTACAGTTGGGGACTTTGTCTTTAGTCACGGAATACTCTGAGAGGCTGCCGGTCGCCGCCAAATCCAGCCTTGGTGAACCCGGACCTGGTAAACGATCAGAGCCTCAATCACCTTCAGAACCACGCCTTCATTGACCAGGCAGCACTTACCCGCTATCAATAACAATGGCTCGTGGTGACATATTTGCACTGGGCGACATGATAGATCGAACGCCAGGTATCTCACATCAGGAGATGTTTAGGGCAAGCTTACGAAAGAGCTCAGCTGTGAGAATTTGACGCTCAGGCATCTGCAGATTGGGCTTTACACAATTGCTTTCTTTTCGAGGCTGAGGTGAGCTGGTGCCGGTCTGCATATGCAGGCGGCACTCATTCAGGTAAGGTAAGCATGCAGGCACGTTTGGGAACGCCGCTTATTGTCCGTTTCCATTCAGGTTTAATGATTGAAACCTGATGGCCCACATCACGGAAGGTTATTTGCGATGAATTGGCAAGAATATCGTAGAGATGGGTTCTTCCGTTTTACTACTACTCAAGTCTCTAATCAACCCTCTTCTCTTTTCTTCATGAACCCTTCAAGCATCTTCCAGGTTCAACTTGGTAAGCATCAAAACTTCATCAAAACTGATTGCCATGGTCATTACCAGCGCCATGTCGTACTGTGAGACCCAACAGGCTTTTGGGCAGGTATCGCCTGCAATCATACACTCTGCACGCCATGGTATTCGCCGTGGTAAATCTGCCCAAAATAAAAGACCATGTGATCCCAATTCCACGCCAGTCGCATCCATTACGCTTGCAGTCAATAAAACAGTCATCGCTCTGACGGATCCTCTTTCATTACCAAACTCCGGATTTGCGGGTCGTTGCTTGACGTCTTTGCGCCATACGTGTTGTGTCGTTCTTAATAGCGTTTAATACATCATCGTCATAATTTGCTGCTGCTGTTGTCGCTGCCGCTGTGCGTTTCTCTCAGCGAGAATCCTCTTGACTCGTCGTCGACCGGTGTTGATGAAGTGATATTGCGGCGGGTACTCCTGTTCCACGGCTTGAGGGTATGTCCAGTATACGAGCCCGGCGAGAATCATGTTGAAGAATCGGGCTGCGGGCGTGAGTCGGGGCTTCTTGCGCGCAAAGTGTCGCCATTCGAGTGTGAGAACGATGTTGCCCAATACATTAAGAAGGCGGAAGAACCTTTTACCTGTTAGCTCCTTATAAAGTAGTGAAATAGTAACCGAACTTACATGTTCAACACGATAAAAACCAGGGTCACTGTAACCCGTCTGTCAAATAATCCAGCTATGCCGTCTTCCACATCTTTGACGAGGACGTAGATTGGCAAACACCAAAGACCGAGTATCGCTGTCTCAAGGATCAACGAAAAGTGGTACGTGCGCTTGTGTTCGCCTCTGACCACGAGGAGAGCCAGACACCACCACAGCAAGACGAACGCGACCTGTCCAGGTTAGACAACTATTTTCGAGACTCACGAGAGCGATTTCCATGAACTTACAATAGACGGCACCAAGACGAGGATCTCGTCTCTAAAGTACCTCCAGCAAAGCGCACCGGCGACGATACCGAGACTCAGCTGAATCCAGCCCAAGACGAAATACACCAGCAGGACGTTGTTGTAATGATTGTAGCAGCCCTTGTGGAACTCGGGCTGGTTGGGCGCCGAAGCAGTGGCGACGGGATACCCGCACCATCGACAGATCCATACACTCGCGTAATTGCCTAGTGCCACCTTTTTGCCTACCGCCAGCTCATTCTTCTGATACGCGCAGTCGACACATTTACTAGCAAGAGGATACCGCGGATGGTTATAGTCTGCCCAGAGCAAGCTGCCGCGTGTGGGATCGTACTTTAGGCAGATGTAGCAATGTGCCAGTAGAGCGAGGCGGAACTGCTCGCCAAAAAGGTCGCGAATGGTCTCCTTTGTGAGAAAGTTACGGTAGAAGCGGCACGTGCGGCGCAGATTCTCGAGCTCGCCGAACTCGAGGTAGTCGATGATCATAAGATGCAGCTCAGGCGGGAGATCCATGAGACTGTTACCTGTCTTGGGGCCTAGAATACGAGAGCGTCGTCGTGGATCGAGCGAGGCGACCTTTTCAATGACTGAGTCTCGGCGTGAGCGGGATGTGCGAGGCCGGGCGCTTCGGGCGCTGGTAGGTCGTATTGAGCCGCCATCTTTACAGGACAGTTGTTGCTCGAGTTCGAGGGGTAGAGGTGACTCGAGGGGTGAGGGCAGGTACTGAGCTGGTGAGGCTGCGGCTGAGAGGTTGAGAGGTTGGGGCGCTGGTGAGTTGGGGTGGACCTGAGGCGCGAAGGATATAGCTGAGGGAGTAAATATGGGAGAAGACAAAGGTGCGCTGGGTGAGTGGACTATGGTGGGCGGAGGTGACAGTGGCGATACGGGTTGAGACTGCGGCCCCGGGACGGTGAGTGTTTGAGTTGTGATGTTGTTCGTCAAGGTCTGGGCATTCGAGGACTCGGCGGGGTGAGCGCCGGTGAGAGCCTGGAGGGTTGCGTCATCTTGAGTGGGGGGTTGGGCTGATGGGCCCAGTGCCAGGGTTGGAAGCGTATGAGCGTGATGCTCATGAGCGGAGTGAGGGGGCGACGGTGAGGCCGGCTCCGGTGAGTTAATAGTCGGTGTGAAAGGTGGCAGTGGTGATGTGAGCGGCAGAGCCGTGTAGTGAGATTGAGAGGCCGTGTGAGCCGGAAGTTGAGCTTCAAGATCGGGTTCAGTGGTCGGTGCGGGAGCGTGAGCGGGTACGGGAGTGTCCTCGGCGGTGGTGGACGAAGCGGTTAAGGATGGGGCCGATGAAGCCGCGGATGACTGAGATGGTTGCTGATCATCTTGGGAACCCTGAACCTTTTTGCGGACGCCGCGGGCAGCGCGGGAGATGCCCCTCCCGAATGAGCTGACAACATTATCCATAGTGAGCCCAGGGCGGGAGATGGTTAAACGGTGTTGTCGGTGGTCTTTTGGTGCACCGTCGACGGGATATGTGCCCACCGTACAGCAGTGAGGAGAGTGAGAAAGAGATCTGGCGGCGGGTCGGCTGGGCGACCGGGGATCCCCTCGTCACGGAGGGTTGAAACTGCTTGGAACCCGGGGTGCTACAGAGAGGCCGATGTGAAACGGGTCTGGAAGCCGCGCCGGGAATCCTGGGCGAATGTTGGGGGCGAGGGACTGGGCGACCTGAGTTGACAAGAGTGTAAAGTGAGTGTGAGCGTCAGCGGGCGGTGTGTTCGAACGAATGAGAGCGGGGGCGTAAGTGAGCGAGTTGAGATTGTTCGAGCGAGATGTTGTTTTAGGCAAGTCTTAGCCAACGTCTGCGATAGTAGCCTCAGTGGCCGTGAAGCGGTAGGACATTGTTTTGATTCGGGGTATGAGGGAGGGGGGAAAATTGGTAAAATAAGAGAAGGAAGAGAGGGAGGAAGAGACGGGTGCGAGTGGAGGAGGTCGAGGTGGTGATGAGTGATTGATGATCGATCTGTGATGTGGTAGTCTGCCCGCTCGTGGGTTCGTTTCTTTTCTTCTTCGTTTGTTGTGTCCCTCCTCGTGACCCTTGTGACCAACGGACCTGATTCGATCTGGTCTGATGCAGGGTTACTTTCTAGACTCCTTGAATCCTTGAATCTGGGGTTCCGTTCGAGTTGGGATGCAGCAGGCCAGGCGCAAAGTTTACCAAGGCGTGCCAGGCAGAGAAAGGCAGAGAGTGGACGACAGGAGTCAGAGTCAGTCGGTCTCTACGCGCAAGACTGCAACTCTCAGTCTCACCTTTTTAGAGCGAGCTGCAACGAACGGGCTGGAATGGGCGACCGCCACGCGGCGATCGCAAGGGGGAGGGGGGCGGTGGTTGGGTTGTCCGGTGCTTGTGCTTGTGCCTTTGCAGACTGCCCACAGGCGGGTGCGCCAAACCGGCGTGGACGCGGTGGGAATAGTGCGCTCTGGGACCAAAGAGAGGGGAAAAGAGAAGACGCCGGCCCCTCGACTTTCGACTTGATGGGTACACAAAGGTGGTGCTGTGGTCCGGTGACCAACAAAGTACCTCGGTTGTCGAGTGTCCCCCGGGAGTTGGCGGTGGGGTTCCGGTCTGTGAGCACCCGTCGAATGTGTTCAGGCGTCAATAATCAGCTGTGGTAAGGGCGTTTGCTGGCCAAGCCAAGGGATATATCGTATAGTTCGTGTGTCTCTGGTGGGAATAGTAACAAGTTCGAACAGTAAGGTGAATAGAGTAGGTTGGCCAAGAGAGAATAGGCAAGTAGGAAGTAGGCGACCGAAAAAGCTTGGAACCAAGGGAACCAGCCAAGTGAAGAAAAGATAAATCCCGAGACCTTGTCTTGATGGCGCTGTTCATCCGCAAGCCATGGAGGACTCTCCTTGTATTAAACCCGTCCGTGTTGCCTGCGACGGAGTAACATAGATGATGGTTGACTTGTCCACGTACGAAGACAATAAGGAGGCAACGCCAAGCCAGGAGGCCTGCCTGCCCGGCACACCACTCTCGGCCGCTCAGATCAGCCTCAAGCTTCGTCAAAACGTGGCCAAGAAGTCCCCATATCCATCTTTAGCAACGCTCCGGACTTGATGGTGTGTTGGGCTTTGGGTGTGTCGCATGTTTCGAATCCTAGGGGTTTCCGCGCCGCCCTAGCCTCCTAGCATACAGTAGCTCTTAGCAGGGCACGCATGCTTACTTACCAGCATGATTTCTAGCATACCGTAGCACGCATAGGTTTGCTTCCAGGATGGCTCTTCCTAGCTCCCGGTGCAACTTTGAGAGTGCTGGACCGGCAGCTGGGTCGGGCACGACTAGCGAATTCCCTTAGTCTAAGATAGTTTCATTCTCGTCATTTTAGATTCTGTCAAGCATATTGCTACTTTATTTTGTGACGAGGGTGGTGACGGTGTTGGGGCCGACAATGCTGGTTGACGAGGAAGAAAAGCCTCAGAGCATGGATGCACTCTACCAGTCCCCTCATCAAGACATCAACTGACAACAGCACGGCTTCACACCCATGTGATCATCAGGGAAGCTCCCAGTCTATTTGCTTCATGTTCTCTATGCTTGACCAGCCGGTCTGAAGCGACAGGCGATACGGCATGCCTCCGCTGTCCAGTATTCAACCGACAACCCACATTCGTCTCTAGGAACTGATCCGTACAGTCGCTTCA